TCTAAACAGTTGGCATTTCTGTACATTCGAAGTCAGTAGAGGCATGAGTACTCTAAGACACTACTCTCCAGAAAAAGCGCTTCCAAACAAACTATTTGGCCCATAACTGTTCTTTCCTTCTCTGAGTCAACGGGAGGAAAGCATCATTGGACTCTTGCCTATTAAAACATGGGTGGTGGCAATCCTCGAGAGCCAGGACCATGTGCCTGAAATGGTCCTGAACAGCCCCCGGTATGAAGCTACATGCACTTAAAAGTCATGTTAGTGTAGGAGAGGGTGGCAGTTTTTACATCAGGTGGGCTGCTAATGTTTACCCACGGGTTATCAAGGACAGAGCTTCCCAGACCAGGTGCCATAGTGCACGAGTAGCCGGACTGAGAGAGCAGTCCCCTTGGCCTTCTAAGCAGCCAGAGGGGCCTGGTGGAGCCAGAGTCCCTGGGCCCAGGCCCATGGCCATAAACAACAAACATCCGTTTACTGCACCATGTTACACAAGACTATTTTCTATGTGTGCCATGATGTTGGGGGCAGGGGAGTTGGAAAGAATCCCAAAAAGTAAGTTATTGTAAACAAAATTTACTCGTGGGCTAGAACTCCCACCTCCAAGCAGTTTAGGGTTTTGTGGCCACATAAAACAGACCTGTGTAATATCCCAGTAACCAAAACAAACCACATGGAGCAAGATCTCTGTCTTCAATGGCTAATTTTCTTCTCTCTTGTCAACTGAGTTCTTCCAGTCACTCTTGCAGGATTTCTGGGTTTCTAGTTGGTTGGTCATAGACGGCCAATCATTTTATCACCATCCGTAAATTTGCCTTCTTTGATTCAAGTAACACTGGAAATAATCAGCTCTTACCTTGCAACCTGCAAAACTCTACACAACTCAGCTATTACCTTTGTTAACATATAAAAGATGCTCACCTTTATTTCAATATTTAGCAAGCATTTAACATTAACAATGAGAGTAATCATTTTTAAAAATAGTTCATACCCTGAAATATCCAATGATTGCTCATTATACCATTCAGAAATTAAAATATGTAGCACAATTATCCCTCATTAATTTACTCAGCAAATACTTCTGAGTGCCTGCAGTATACCAGGCTCATGCTAGGTGCTGGGGGTGCCCAGGCAAACTGGTACAATCCTGGCTGTCGAGGACCCCACCATTGTGTGAAGGTGACAGACAAGAGCACACAACTGACACTTGGCAAGGGAAGCGTCTATGCGGGCATGCACGGAGGTAAGGAACCACCCTGCTTGGAGTACAGGGACATGGGCCATCCAAGGGAAGTGGCCTCCCTGAGAAGACACATAACATGTGATCTCTGCAGAATCATTTTCCAGAGCATTTAGCAAGCATTCTCGTCTTCATAACAACATGAGAAAGAAATGGCAGGCGTCCCTTCAAAATACCTGTCGTCATTCTATAGGTCGGGTTTGCAAGGTCAGCCCGGCAGGGTCTGTGTATTTCTTTCTGGGAGGCCTGGCTGCCACGGAGAAGACCATCAATGAAATTACATGGCTTGCAAAACGCCATGCAGGAATGAGCGACCTCGGGTTCCCAGCCAGAGTTATTGCTGTTGTCTTTTGCCCCCACCACACCAATGGAACATCTTTTGTCTAGAACATTTGATAGATGTATTCATGATATTCTTGAAGTTGCTTTTATCCATTATGAAAGTTCCAACAATAGGTCCCAAAAGTAGCAGTAAATTGCCTTCATCTTAGCTTTATTAAGTTTTCTCACGACCTCAGGAAATTCATTACTTTATCTCCAATCTTCTTCTTGGCATCTGTTCCCACCTTTCATTCTCAGCCCTTGGCTAGCACCTCTTGAGGGACCTCTGCCTCATTTGGGTGGTCTGCAGCTCGGTGCTCCATTACCACCCACACGAGGTCCAGAACCAACACCATGTCAGGCCATACTTGGCACCACCTCCCAACTGATCCCAAAGATGGACAAAATATGTTTTCAAAGGAAAGAGATGCTTTTGAATTTTGTCTTTTGTGACTGGGGCATCAACACTAGGAACTCATACAGCCAGGGCGTGAATGGTGGGCCAGGCCTTCTGCAGCCGTCTATAGAGCAGCGGACTGGGACTCAGGAGACCAGGGGGCAATTCCTGGCCATGCCATGATTAATGAGCTGTGTGACTTGGGCAAGTTGATTTCTCTGGATATAAGAGGTATGATCTTGAACCACCATGCAGTTCTGAGTCTATGATGCTAAGATCAAAATATTGCTCTGCCCGGAGGTGGCCGGGTAGCCACCACTTGGCATATGAGGGATGAGGAGCAATGGGCTGGCGGAGGTGCCCTTCCAGCCAGGAAGACGTGTATGGGGATTGGCGCTACGGGAAAATGCCCCATTTTGTCAGGTGATCCCCCCACCATCGGTCCTTGCCCCCTGCATGAACCCTGTCTGCAGAGGTGTCCCAGGATAGGATGATATTCCAAGTGCCTCTGGAACTCAGGGCCAAGAGGGCTTCTCCAGCTTCGGGAGCCATGGCTCAGTGCTGATCCACAGACAGGATTCCAAGCTCCTTCCCTACCCTGACCCCAGAGGGGAGCGACATGGTCACTGGTTTTGCCTTTCAATCTGGGAGTATGGACAACTCCCCATCCTTGCTCGTACATGTGCAAGTACATGTGGTTGTTGGCCAGGATATATTCTGAGCTCTACATAAGCAGTGTGCTCTAGACCAGCGCTTTCAAACTTTGCTGTGCGCACGAGTCAGGCGGGGACTCTTGTTAGAAAAAAAGATTCCAATTTGGTCAGGCTGGGATGGAGCCTGAGAATCTGGATTTTGAACAAGCCCCCTTTGAGGTCAACAACACTGGGCTACAACCAGACTCTGGGCAGCAAGGATGCAGAGAAAAGGATTGAGGGCTGAGAGTCACTTAGCTTGCTGTTGGTCGGCTGTTTCTAAAGTCAGTCAGAGCCTTCATTTCCCATCTTTTGGAGATAGCAATGCTTATCCTACCAGTTTCAAGATACTATTAAAAGGGACAAGTGAGTTAATTTAGAAAATGTGCATACGTAATAACGGTGTGAATGTTTTCTGCTTTTCCAGGCAACCACTAGATCATCTAACTCTCGCGTGCCCTGGAACCCATACCAGAAAGTGTTAAAACTGCGTACCTCGGGTCCAGCAAACACTCCAACCCATCGACCCGGGGTGGGCATGCGAGCATGCATTTTAACAAGCCACTAGGGTGATTCGATGCTGTCAGTTCTCAGATCACACTTTGAGAAACCCTGTCCTCAGTGATAAGAGTACTCTGCTCTCCCCATGTGTGGAGATTTAAAATAGTAAGGGTCTCAGATTCCAGACTCTTACCACCCCGTGGTTTTGTGCTTGTCAAACTTTAATGTGCACAGAAATCACTCAGGGAATCTCGTTGAAATATGGATTCTGACTCCATCGGTCTGGGTAGAACCTGACGTCCTGCATCTCCAATGAGCTCAAGATGATGCTGATGCTGCTGGTCTAGGACCACACTTTGAGTAACAAGAACCTGGGTCAGTAGTTCTCAGCCCAAGTTGCACGTTACAACCATCTTTTAAATGCTATGAGCATTAAAAAAAAAAACAAAAAACAAAAAACAAAAAAAAGAACACTTTATTTTTTTTAAATTGGTCTGGGTTAGAGTTCAGGTATTTTTAAAGCACCCAGGTGATTCCAATGTGCAGCCAGCTTTGAGGGCCCCCCAACCCCCACCCCACTCTGCCACATACTTCCAACCACAGATAGAGACAAAGGCTCTGGTTGCAGAACAGGAATGGGCAGTCAGCTTGGGTCCACCATTCAAGCCAGTCCAAGGTCCAGTTAGGTGAGTCTGAGTAGTTCCTTGCAGGAGAAATAAGGCAGATGGTTCATTCATCTCTTGACACTGATAGGTGTCTGCGTAACGGTTTCTGCGGGGAAAGGAAGTAGAACTTTTTTTTTTTTTTTGAAGGAGAATTTTTACTACTTTTATGTACAGAAAACTCAACAGTGCACTCTCAGCCCAGTTTGGTGGCCAGTTCTTTAGCCTTTGCCTTTTCCAGCTTGGCAATGCGAGCCACTGATTTTGGGCCCGGGATGCTGCTTCCCCAGTGATGGCGGTTCTCGTCACATCTGTCATTGTAATTGGTCCGGATAGCTTCCGCCAGCTTAGCCAGTGCTGCCCGGTCTTCTGCGTTAGCCTGTGTGAAGGTGGCGGTGGTGCAGGTCTGCCTGACCTTCCCCTTGATAATGCAGTAGGGAACCCCCACCTTACGGCACAGGGCAGATGGGAAGACAACCAGCTCAATGCATCCATGTCACGTGCAGTCACTACCAGCTGAGCCTTCTTGTCACCAGAGTGGTGACAGTATCAACCCCTGCTGGAAGGACAGGTGCCCTCTTGGTGGGGACATTGCTTTTGTCGGCAGCTTTTTACTCAGCCAGAGCCAACAACTTTTGTTTCTTCTCTTGCTTTGTCTCTGGCCTACACTTGGGGGCCAGCTTAAGCATTTGAGTAGCTGTTTGGCGGTCCAAGGCCTGGCTGAACTGGTTAATCGCAGGAGGCACTTTCAGGCGCTTATGGAGAATAGCCCTTTGCTGCTGCAGCCGAATGTGACATTTGACAAAGTGAGTGAGACCCCTTTTGGGCTGCATGTCCTCTCCAATGCCAAAATCCTTGGGTCTTTTCTCAAGTAGAGGATTTATCATCTTCTTGGCCTCCTGCTTCTTCACAACAGCAGGGGCTGGGGGCACTTTCTTCCCCTTAGCCTTCTTTCCCTTCGGCGTCTTGGGCAGTAGGAGGAAAGAGGAAGTAGAAGTTTTAACAGGAGGAATGGAGAAGCTGGATGTTTTACACAACATACTCGTGCAGTTACTCCTGCAGCTTCAGACCATACTGCTTTTTCTTTTCCAGTTTCTGCATGTGAGTTTTCCCATACTCTCTACTTGGCTCTCAAAGGCTGGGGACCAGAGTAGGACACTGACCTGTCTCATTTTGCCCCTGGCTAGGTGGTGGTGGGGAGCAGCCAGCCACGACAAGCTCCAGGGCCGATGAGGGCTCAGAGGCTGTGCTTCCTAAGCCCAGGAGCGTGTTCCACATCGAGTGGTCAACCATTCGGAGAAGAAGCAAAGGTGTGAGCTACTTCCCCCTCACTCTTGGGTGCTCGATTTATTCATCTCTAAAATGGGAACAATGGCAATTACCTACTTCACAGGATGATGGGGACAGCCATGAAGTTCAGGCTCATTCTTGTCATAGCTGACCTCTGACCACAGCCACAGGTCCCAGTGTCTAGACTCTCCCTGAGTGGGAGACTGGAGCTGGGACAGGCAGTAGGCTCTGCAGGTCTGGTCAGGAGGTCTCAAACTTGATGCACATTAAAATCACCTACATCTCACCCCAGGAGACTCTAATTCTTCTAGGGAGCAACCTGGGTGGGCTTAAGGACATTTAAAAGCTCTCCATGAGATTCTATTTGCTGCCAAGTCACAAACCACTAGTCTTGAAGGTTAGAGATGAAAAGTCCTCACCCACAGCAGTAATGGAGATGTAAGACCAAGAGAATAGGTAGAGAGGCATGGAAAGGAAGTAGCTCCCAAAGGCCAAGACTGAGGTGTGGAGAGGCTTCCGAGGGCAGCCAAAGCTGAGCAGGTAGGGGAGCCAGAAACTTGGATTTAGAAGCTGAAGACATGTTGTAGCAAACAGGGAGGAGTCGTGGGGGGGTGTCTCCCCAACCAGCTGCATGGTTGGAACGGCCTCAGAGGGGCCATCTCATTTCCCCCTCACAACCCCAAAGAGGGGAGTTGACTGGCCCAGAGTCACCCAGCTGGCGAGGGGCACTGCAGGATAAAACTGATTCCCAGGTTAGTGTCCTTTTTACAACATCATGTGCTTCCCAGAAGATGCATTAGTGATGTTCTTATTCCAATTTATCTGAGCCTCATTGTTTCATACCTAAAGTAGCCAACCCAGAGAGACGGGCCTGGAGTGGATGGGAAAACATCACACGAGGTGGAGAAAGCTTCGAGATAACGAAAGGGCCCCTCTCGCCCAGGAGTTTGTATTTGCCTGGGGCCCTGGGCATGGTGTGAAAGAGAGCATGGCTTGCCTCAAAGGTTAACAGTGTCCCTCCAAACCTTCTCCTATGTGGTTTAGGGCTGGAGTGAGGGAGGGCCTAGCAGAGAGCCTCATGCAAAGGAGCCTGGGAGGTGGAGGTTGGTCGCAGTTGCTGAAGAGCTGGCAGGCAGAGGGGAGCTTCAGACAGAAGCAGCAGGCCCATCAGGAATATCACACACACGGGCTTCCTCTTTGCTTCCTACTCTTCCTTTCAAAGCTTCCAAAACTAATTTGTTTCTCCTGTATAGTGTAACTTCCCATCCATACTGGTGCTTGCAGTCTCTAGTCCTTCCAAAGTAGGAACACATTTCCTTTGATGCCTATTTTCTTGGGCTTAGGTACCCTCAAGACTCATGAATGCAGACTGGAAACAGTCAACTTGGTCTGAAAACATCGGGCGTTCAGAGCCCAGCCTGCCATTCTCATACTTGACCACTAGAGAGAACCAGAGCACCAAGGCCGAAACTTCCAAGGGCCATAACTTCTTTTACGGAAGTATAAAACCCTACTGAAATTGGTCATCTTTAAAAATAAATTATCTCGTAATAATGAAAAACATGTTTAGCGCCACTTTGCAAGAGTTTTCTAGAATTACAAGGACATGCCAAAATCAATTTTAAGTAATGACATGGATATCACTTGTCAATCCAACCAGCAGTTGCTGTTAAAACACCTAAAATTCCAAATACTAGCAAAAAAGAGACCTAAACAACTCAAAGTCATACAGTTGGGAAGGTCATAGTAAAAAGCAAACAAACCTTGCATGGCTTAGGCAGCTTAATAGTTTATGAGCAATAGCATCCAAGTTCCTTTCTTTGCACACTTAGGAGTTCTCCAGATGGTATGAGAAACTACCCTGGATTTGGGGATCATGGGCAACTCACTGCTTCCTCATCTAAAAGATTTAGGAGCTGAGCTAAATCAAAGCTTGTTCATTAAAAGTCAGTCAGTCTCTGGACTCCCTAAATTCCTGTTTACATAAGGATGTGTATTTTTTCCCCCAAAAGGAGAGGCCAAATTGGTTCATAACCAGTAAAAGAAAAAAGGGCCCTTCCAGCTGCAAAATGCCATGATTCTGAGCTTCCTCAAGGGAAACAGGAAAAACAGATATTCCAATGCCAGCCTTGCAAGAAATTTGCTGCTCAGGGGCCAGGGGAGAGGTGTCCTAATTGATGATGTTCTTTCCTTCCATCTCCAGTGTTTGGGAAAGCTGAACACCAGGAGAGACAAACAAAAGACCCTTTTCCCTATCAATACCAGAAGCCCACGGTCGAGTTGCTGGTGAGTGATGAGTGGCCCCCAATTAGAAGCAGCACCCCACAATCACAGAGTTTGTGGCAAATGAGGGATCTGAGGTCCAGAAAAGGCATTCTCAATTTAGGCAAACTTTTCTTGAATTCATATTTCCAGGAACATAATATACCTGGGATAAAAACGTCTATTTTACACAGTTTACTTTATAAAGTTTCATATCCCTTTGATTCGAATTCTCTATTTTTCATCTTCATCTAAATCTGGCACTTAAGCATGGAGGTAACAAGCTGGTACCAGTTTTCAAAAACAGAATCTTCACATGTTCAATTTTATGGACAGTTACATTTTAAAGGCTAGACATACTGGGTGGGGGGGTGGTATTTCTTCTGGAAAGAGGGTAGCATAGTGGAAGTAAAGGGTTTTTTTTTAAAGAATCTAAAGATCTGAGATTAAATGTCAATTCTACTGTTTGACCTGACCTCTACAAATGAGAACCTCTCCACAGAATGAGAATAAAGGTATTGTCTTGATGTATTTCAAGGCTGTTGCTCATATCAACTGAGGTAGCATGATAAACAAAATAAAAGATAGTCTAGTCTACAGAAACACGGAGATGAAATAGAAATTTCACTAAATGCCAAATGAAAATCTTAGCTTAGTCCCCGAGTGAGCACAAACGCCACTTCTCGGCCTGAGAAGCACAGAATGTGGGCGTTTCTTGCCTGTCTCCTGTCGCTGGACAGGATCTGGACACCATGGAGGAGAGCTGTGAGATAAAGGCGGAAACGGGCATCTCCAGGACTTCCTGGATTCGAAGCTCCATGGCCGCCAGCAGGAAAAAGATCAGCGAAGCCCTCTGTTACATCACAGGAGAGATGAAGGAGTGTGGAGAGGGCCTTAAAGGTAAAGGTTCTATGAGAGCAGCCCCTGACCCAACCCCTAAAAAGGTCACCTCCATTCGTCCCTCAGGAAACACTTTGCCACGGTTCTCCTTAGACTAGACTGAGTTCCGTTTCCATGGTCTTTCAAAGATGGAACAGACAAACAATCCCTTGGGATGTAAATACGAACATAATCAATGCTCTCATTGCTGAGCATCAGTCCCACCAGAATGCTGCAATCAAGCATCTTAGCACTGGCATTCTAGATCCAGCATTCTAGAAAAACTGCCTGCCCTGTGGACGGATGGCTCCCAGGAAAAATGTGTCTACTATTCCAGAAGGTTCTCTTTAGCAATTTCCCCATGGGTTTGACACTCTCTGTGCAGCAAGAGAGTTTTTTTTCTGGGTCTGTCTTCTTAAAAATTCATGCTACTCTCACAGGGGCACAGATAGTTCAGGGTACCCACTGCTTGAAAAGCAACCTAAAGACCACAACCAGCTGGCGATGAGACTGAAGAGTTTTCTGGGCAATCAAATGCCCTCTGAGTTTCTTGGTCTACCCTCTTCTGTGGCAAGTGATAGCGGGACGCTCGTTCCCTGTGAAAACCGCCTTGGGTATGGGGCTTCCCTCACACCCTCCTCCCACCCTCTGGGACCTGGTCTAGAGCCGTCACATCTGAGCATGAACTGACTCCCTGCCCGGTCCCATTTCAGACAAATCCCCGGTGTTCCACTTCCTCGATTGGGTCCTCCGGGGCATGTCCCAGGTGATGTTTGTGAATAACTCCCTCAGTGGCGTCCTGATCGTCCTTGGCCTCTTCGTCCAGAACCCCTGGTGGGCCATCTCGGGCTGCTTGGGCACCATCATGTCTACTCTGACAGCCCTCGTCCTGAGTCAAGACAAGTAAGTTCCAGGGGACCAGGGGCCAAGCATGGGGCAGAGGTCACTCCCTGTGGGGACCATTCACCACCTTCCCATGCCCTCACTGCCTGACTTCCAGCTCAGAAACCCCTCAGAATAAGGACACTAATAACTAAAAACAACCATTCCCTGATTGTTCTGTAACAGCTACGCGTCATCTAGGGGGATGTGGAAAGGGGCCATCTGTTTGAAGGTGTGTATTGTCAGGCCCCAGTTGACAAAAATCTGACTCAGAAGGAAAACCAAGAAGGCAGTGCCCCTGTATTGGGAGCCCGCACTTCACCAGCTCTGCTCTCCCCCCCAGGTCGGCCATCACGGCAGGGCTTCATGGCTACAACGGGGTGCTGGTGGGGCTGCTGATGGCCGTGCACTCTGACAAAGGCGACTATTACTGGTGGCTTTTGCTCCCGGTCATCATTATGTCCATGTTTTGGTAAGTCTGCTTCTGAAACTGTGGGTGCATATCAGGGGCTGCCAACCTTTTTATCCCAACTCCATGACAGTCTATCCAAACTCGCCTTTTAAGTGGCATTTACTTACCTTGCACATCAGGAAACTCCACTGGAAATGATTGCTGATGTCATACAGTGTCAGCACCTTGTTAGGTGGCCCATCGACAGTATCTCATCACCTACGTCCTTTACTCTTACTGATTTTAAGACCTAAGGGTTTCCTAAGGGGAAGGAGCTGAGGTGCACAGAGGGTCCTGTTAGTTTCTAGAAACCTTCACGTGCCTTCTGCTGCTACCTCTCCCCACAGTTTTCTCTGTCCTTGGGACCCGTGAGCAAACTGGGACAACCTCCCAGTGTAGGCTGGAGGCCTAGGCACTGAGCAGAGACCTCAGAGTGCCAGGCCCCAGCTCCTCCTTCCCCCACAGAAATCACAGGGCACTCCGACCATGAGGCCCCATGCTCTCAGCTGCTCAACAAACATTTGTTAAATTAATTAATTAATTAATTAATTAAAGTGATTCCCCTCCCTGTCACTCCACCAACCTGGCCTCTCTCCTCATGCCTGGGCATGGAGCTATATGACTTTTTAAGGAAGTTCTGTGACTCTTTGCCTTAGGACGTCCCCCAGAAAACCCTCCTTCTGAAGTTGCGTCTGGGCATCTGCCTTGTCATTCATTGTACCGGGCACAAGGAGGGGGCCCAGGGAAAGAACTGCTCAGGGCCAGTCAGGGTCAGAGAGAGTTCCCAGCAGGTGGCTTTCTCCAGGAAGGGGCAGAAAGCGCCCTTCTCCTGCTCAGTCTAGTGTCAGGGTTGGGGGCTTCTTGAACAGCATCTCTTGTGCTTCTGCCCTCAGCCCCATCCTCTCCAGTGCCCTGGGCACCATCTTCAGCAAGTGGGACCTCCCGGTCTTCACGCTGCCCTTCAACATCATGATGACCTTGTACCTGGCGGCCACGGGCCACTACAACCTCTTCTTCCCCACGACGCTGCTGAAGCCTGCATCCTCCATGCCGAACATCACATGGTCGGAGGTCCAGGTGCCCTTGGTACGTATTGTGGAAGATGGAAGGGCAGCATCTGTCCACACTCAATGTTAACGTGGCATTTACTTATTTTGCACATCAGAAACTTCCATGAGTAACAATTACTATTAATAATTATACAGTGCAAGTCACCGTACACACAGTGTGTCATTAGCCACCATTCCTTTCTTCTCTCTTTTTAGAGCTATAAGGGCCATTTCTGGTCCCACCCAGTCATAGCACAGAGGAAGAAACTGAGGCCAAACGGAGACACTGCCTGAGGTCACACAGCTAATTAGTGAAAAACAAAGTCAAGACTAGAACTGTGGCCTCCTAGACCCAGCTTCTTTCTTTTTTCCTTTTTTTTAGTCTTTTTGATACTTTAATCCAGCTTATGCTGTGTATTTTCTTTCATTCAGTCTCATTGAATTGTTAAAGATATACACATCACACTACCATCTATTGGTTAGGATGTCTCTGTTCCAACTTCTAGAGTTGATGCCTTCGCTCTCTGAAGCATGCTCACATTTTAAAGCACAGGTAGAAATATACGTATAACAGAGCTTTTAAAGTTCTTACAAGTGCTCTGTGCATGATGCTGGCCTCTGGAAGTCTGCCAAGATAATTACTAAGAAGCTACACCGAAAGCATTAAATCAGCATGGAGAAATGCGCCCATAGTCTCCTTATCTAAGTGGACATGGTCTCTCGGAGCTCTCCCTCCCCCGCTTCCCGTTACACTAAACAGCCCCATGGACCAGGCTCGCTCTGGAACTTCGTAATTGGCAATTCATCATCTAACCACATCATCTAACCGCTGTACTGTTGAAAGAACTTCCAAAAATAACGTTGCCTAGTTTCTCTTAGCATTTCGTAGGATGCAACAGCAGGGCGTCGTAGAAAGGGCCTTCTTTTGCACTAAGCATCATTATTTAGGAAGATAAATATTTGTGTTAGCCCCCTCCTTGTTGGTGTGTGTGTGTGTGTGAAAGAGAGAGAGAAAGAGGAAGGGAGGGAGGGAGACAGACAGACAGACAGACAGACAGACTTCATGAGCCAGAGGCAAGCAAAGCGCCATGTTGGTAATTCACTCCCGAGGCTTCCCTTTCATCAGTATCTTTGGGAGGCAAAATCGCTCTAATCAGCATGCTATGGGGAGATGATGTTTAAAAAGGCAAGTTTTAGATATTTTGCATTCTCCATCCTCCATTTTCAACGAAAAGATATCTAGGAATTTTGTAGAAATGGAAAAAAAAAAAAAACCAGAGGAATCTTATCCAAATATTTCAGAATCCCAAAGTTCTAGGAAAGAAAAACTCAATTTTGGGTGGTGGTTCTTTAAGAGGAAACTTTCTAATCAGTTGAAAGGATTGTGGTAATGATTAATATGTTTTGTCTTTTGACTATTATAATTAGAACCTTGAGTTTTAGGGAAACAAGTGGTAAATGTCGGAGAGATGATCTGAAACTCCCAACTGTTTGGGGGCCTCATGAGCTCCTCTACTCTAGTGGCCACTGGAGAGACCGCTGAAGGATGGGACCAGCCGGGGACTAAATCACCCAGCGCCACTGCCTCTGCACAGAACTCTCTCATCTGTCCCGCCTTTCCACCTCACGGCGATGTCAGAGCCACTGGGGTCACAGGAGACTCAGCCTGGAGGGTTAGCCCACGAGGCCTACCCACCGGCTCTTGCAATGTCCTCCTATCTCTGCACACCCCCAGGGGGCAGAGTCTTCTCAGAGGATGTGGGCTGAGAAAGAACTGCCTCATCATCATATTTACACATGCCAGCCCCAGGACACTCTGCTTCTCCCCAGCTTACTGCCCAAGGGGTCAGACAAACCCCAGTGCACCCTGGCCTGGCCCAGATCTCCTTCTGTGAACACTTTCTCAGCTCAAGGGCATTGGCCTAACTTCCGAAACACAGCATCCAATCCCAGTCGCTGTGGAAGCCTGCAGGCCCAGGATCCTTTAGCCGAATGCCACAGGCCTGGACCCTGGTTTCATCAATCCCTTTGTCATGCATGGAAGACCCTGCCACCTGGAGACACCTGGAGGCCTGGATGCAAGGAGGCTGCTCATCTATCAGTCACCATATGATGGTTTATCAACCAAAAGAGTAGAGGCTACGATAGTACCTTCTCAGGGTTTTTATGTGAATCTTAGTCCGTTGCTCACCCAGGCCAGACCAATGTGACTGCAGCCCACACATGTTGTTCTTAGAAACACAAAGGACCATTTTTCCATCTCATAGGCTTCTAGTCATCTTTTTAGCTTAAAAAAAAAAAAAAGTTACAAGATTTTTAAAACCCAACTTTGATGGGACATCTATGACTTTTCTAATGAATAATACACTCATTTGAAAAGTTTTCATTTTCTCTTCACTAGAGGTTGAATGCCTTTCACCCTTGTTTCTACATTAAGGAAACTTAAACAACCTAACCCCTTACTGTTCTAAGAGCTCAAGATTCCAACAATAAAGCTTGTGTTCCTTTTAGAATTAACCTATTTGAATAACAATACCTTGGAAATCTGTTACAAAATGTTAGCGTGGAGGGTTTGGCACCAAATCTTTAACAGCCAAGGTTGCTGTTGTCTCTTTCTCTTTATAAATGCTTGTAATCCTGCTGTGCCCACAGCTTTTGAGAGCCATCCCTGTTGGAATCGGCCAAGTGTATGGCTGTGATAACCCCTGGACTGGAGGCATTTTCCTCATCGCTTTGTTCATATCTTCGCCTCTTATTTGTTTGCATGCTGCGATTGGATCCACCGTGGGGATGTTAGCAGGTTAGTGTCATTACTTCTCCCTTATTAATGGGCCCTAAGGATGTTAGTGCCTGGGGCCAGCTTCCCTCCTTCCGTTGTACCATATTTTTTTCTATTTGGGATGCCAGTGCCCTGCTCCCGTGAGCAAAAGCTCCCCTCAAGAAAGGCTTTGATGTTAGTCATTTACAACTTAGTATAAATTTAAAATTTGGGAATTCTTTCAGGCATGTTTGTATTTTAAGTCTTATATTTCATGATCATAAGCAGGAAGTGTTCTCCATTACAGAACATTAAGATATCAATGAAAAGGGAAGTTTTCTTTTTTGTCCAAGAAAGGACCATCTCAGCACTGCTTAAATCAGACTGCAGAGGCCTTACTCAAAGTGTCTCTTCTATTCATAAGAGCTTCACCACTAATATGCACGTGGTTCTGTGGCCATTTGTATCCTTTGGATGTTTTTTTAACTCAATAAAATCAGACGTTCTTTTTTATAAATACCTAAGAGGATAACTAGTCTGGGCTTTGAGGACCATGGCGGGTCTCAGAGCTGGCGGGGCGCCCAGGAAACCCCAAACCCAACACGGACGCCTGCCTTCTCTCACAGCGCTCACCATCGCAACGCCCTTTGACTCCATCTACTTTGGCCTGTGTGGCTTCAACAGCGCCCTCGCCTGCATCGCGATAGGGGGCATGTTCTACGTCATCACCTGGCAGACGCACCTCCTCGCCATCGCCTGCGGTAGGTACTGCAAATGGAAATCCTTTTCCACCAAAAATTATGGCTGTGTCCACCCTCTCAAGGAAAACCACCTAGTAAAAATTCTGCCAATCCTTCAAAGATAAATGGGAGGCTTGTTTGCTTTATAAAAAGGATTTTTGCTTAAAACTGTTTTGAATAGTCATTTAGTGATTAGTACATTAAAAACTATTTTCACTGAACGCAAAAGGTTCAGCCACATGCAGATATATTTTTTTTAGATGAAGGTGGTTTGGTTGTTTATGGGCTATCTCCTATGATTGCTGTTTTTCTCGCTGGTGATTGGAGCTAACTGACAGAGCAACTCTTATGCAAATTAATCATTAGATTTGAGGTTGGGCAATTTACATCAGTTACAGCGATTAACCCTAAGCACCCAAACATTGACCATAAGACCTTCTGCTAGTTGTAGCCAAAGGTCCTACGGTAGCTTACATTGTAGGACGTGATCGGGATTACTACCAGCTGGGCACTCAGTACCTCTCTGATAAGATTGACTATGTTAACATCCTAGGGACACTTGGGATGCTTTTCGTTGAAAAACTTAAGGGTCCAGAAGCAAAGCCCGATTCCACTGGCCCATTTTGATGGAACATCACCTCTCACTGGCACCTAGCTCTTCCCGATAGCCAGCCTAGTGGCGCCCTCCCCATGCAGAGCCTAGAAGATGAGGCGGTTGGTGTACTCGGTCTTCCTCATACCTACAGAATACTGCTCCTCCCCGGAAACCCATATTATATTCATAACTCGTAATGAAATGTACCAGCAGGGATGTCGATCTGGGATTCACTCGCCTTGGCTGTATAGTAAAATTTGTATTTATGGTTTATGCTGCTAAATATATTCCTTTGCTAGAATGCAAGGTGGTGGCACCCACGAGAACCGTAACAGCTCAACTCAGCCCTTCTTAACAAAGTTCATCTGCTGTCTTAGCTGTGCCGGCATTTGCATGGAATTTAACAGTTTTCTAAGCTGCCAAGCAATGAAAACAGGACTCGTTGTTTTTTTCAACCTAAGAGATAGTGTTTGTGGCATAAAAGGTACGGGGAGAGACTATGTAGACAAAGCTTGAGGCACTGTTAGTCACTTGACTATTTCTTGATTCTTTTCCAGCACTGTTTGCCGCCTACCTGGGTGCTGCCCTGGCTAACATGTTATCTGTGGTGAGTCCACGTGAGCTAAGAACGTGCCACAACACCTTTCCTGGTGTCCTCTTGGCTCCCAAAGTCAACACAAAACCCCTTCTCCATGAAGCCTTCCCCAATTCATCCCTCTTGTCTCAAATCACACAACTCACCTCAGCACCTGCTAGACGGGAGGAGCTGGGCCTCAAAAGTTTAAATGTCACTTGTTGGTCAATCAGATCCCATTGTCAGTGGGCCAGCAGAGCTCCTTATAGGACAATTTGAAGAGCGTTATCTTATAAATCAAACTCCTTTCTGATAGAACTCTAGTTCTATCATCCTCTAGAACTAGTTTTAAACCTTTAATTTATCTGTATGTTTATAGATCATCTGCCCAACTAGCCCATGGGCTAGTGTACATCTTTTTTTGTCGCATAGCAACTAGCACGAAGTCAGGAGGTCATGAGGGAAGGCTTCAGGGAAGACAGGGAGCCAAGCCCCAGCCAAGCCTGAGAGAAACCAGAGCTGGTGGCTATGGGCATGAGCAGCAGTCTGAGAACCACTTTTCTGTCTGAGCCTCAGTGTGGGGTGGTGGGTGAGGTCAAGAGGCACCATGTGGCCAGCCCCAGCCCCTCTCACACACAGAAAGGGTCCCAGGCCCCAGTGTCGAGTGCTCAGTGCTCAGCCTGCAGTCGACGTCTCCTCCTTTTGGATAAAGGTTCAAGGGCACATCTCACATAGGCGATGAGGAAAAGTTCCATTGGTCCTGCGGGTAGAGATGGAGGTGGGCATTCTACTCACAGCTGTCTAAATCTCTCCTTGGTGAAGTTGGGCAGTTTGGACTTAGCATGGGAGGGAATTTTCTAAACAATAGAATTGGTCTTCCCTGACACCATCCCGTGTCCCCGATGGACTAAGTCCCTCCTCAAGCCCTGTCAATTTTTGCACACGCATCTACTACATGTACCATAGAGTACTGGGATGACTTGGATACACATCGATTCTTTTCGACCTTCGGCCTGGGTGCTCCTTCAGAAGCACACAGTTATATTCTTACCTTTATCTCTAGTACCTATTACAGTGCCCAGCATGAAGTACGTGCCCGAGAAATGCTGAGTGAATGAAACCCTTAGGCACTGAGCACCACCATGGGGAACATTAGAGCTGGGGCTGAGTAGCTGACCATCAGAAACATCGACGAGGTTTTTACTGCTTATAATAAAATGATGTTTGGGGGAGAGGGGGTGTGATTCGATCTGCCTCGTAGCGGAATTTGCAGGCTCTGTGTTAGCAAGCCATTCATTCAAGTTATTCCAAATGAAGAGTGGTGAGGGCTAGGTTAAAATCTTCAGCACATCTTAAAGAATAAAAAACAGGTCAACGTCTTGAGAAAGAGAGCTGAGAATGATAGGAGAGCCCTTGAGAAGAGAGGTCGTTACTCTCCAACTGCAGCTCCTGGACTAGGATGTCTTATCTCTTCCTCTGCTCCATGTCCCCATGTCTGTCTGTGATGGGTTTCTGCTGCTGCAAACAGCCCCCAAACGACCACCCAGCACTGATTTGCTCTTTAGCCCCTTCAGATCAAGAGCCTCTGGACACAGTCTCTGTGCCTCTGAGTTCAAATTCTCAAAAGAGGGGATTTTATTCCCAGGTCATCTGCCTATCGGAAGCTGCCTCTCTGCAGTATGATTAGCTATGGCCAAAGAGAAAAGGCCTTGAACTACAAAATGATTGCCAAACCATTCCTTCAACAGGGGCTCTGGGAGAAGGCAGGAATGGCCACTGGCCATTGTTCCTTGAGTTGGGGGTATAGGCTGGCCAGACAACCCAAAACAAAACATGTCTCCTACATAAAGGCATATTATAACAGGGTTCCAGTGGCTGCATTTTGAAGTTCACCTGTCACACTGCAGACTGACACCATTGGCATGATTTTATTTATATTTGTTATAAATTAAGTATTATTCCTGTCAATGCCCACAAAGCATCCCTTCCTCTCCCCAGAACTGGAGGTGTTTGCTAAGGACTGATGACACAGGCACAAGCCTCTGGTATAACCAAGGTCTCTCTTGTGTTCCCTCCGGCCCCCCAGTTTGGATTACCACCCTGCACCTGGCCCTTCTGCCTCTCAGCGCTCACCTTTCTGCTCCTGACGACCAACGACCCCGCCATCTACAAGCTTCCACTCAGCAAAGTCACCTACCCAGAGGCCAACCGCATCTATTACCTGTCCCAGGAGAAAAATAGAAGACCATCAACCATAACAAAGTACCAGGCCTACGATGTCTCCTAAATTTCTCCTTTCTAAAACATATTACTATAAATTCAGGCTTCAGCAGGCTGTGTAGGTCCCCAGCCTGAAGGCCACATAAGCTCTCCTTCTGTCTGTTCTGTGATTCTCCTCCAAAGCACGCCTACACCCGTTATTCTCAAGCATGGGGAAATGTGTGTGTACTCACTATTCAGGAACCTCTCCGTTCTAAGATGCACAACACTTATCAAATGTATGGTTAGTTTAGACTTTGCACAGCTCACTCCATAAGAGCTTTCTTTCAGGGGAATCTTCCCTCTTCTTCAAGATAAGCCACATTTTAAAAAGAACTCACCAAGAAGGAGACAGAGCTTGGTGACTTGGCCATCCAACTCAGTCATTTAATGTAGCAATACACAGTGTCATGAAATATGCAGAAGGCAAAAGGCTGGTTCTGCCCTAGCTCTGACACTAATGAACTCCTACCATCTCGGATGAGTCCTCCCCACTCTCAGCCTCAATTTCTTATTGGTTTCATGACAAGGAGGGACTCTATAATCCCTTTCACCTCAGAAGTGTTGCTTAATCTCTCTCTCCTGTAAGCTGATGAAATCAGCATGACCAGTAATTACTTTGAGTTAAGTAAGAGATGGAAGGGTGACCTGGAGAAGAGGCAGAACAGTTTCAATGATCTATGGAGATTTATTCTTGAGTCATGAGATGTTCTCCAGACTTTTGGGTTACAAACCTAATTCACCGAAAATGCCAACGTGCCTACTTTACGTAACAGAAATATTTCTGGAAATATCATAAGATGAAAATTGATCTTTTCCAACATTCAAATCATATTTTAAACAAATGTGTTTCCTTTTGTAATAGTTATAAACATACTCTATTAAACTGTTAAGTTTGCAAGTTGGAATCAGGGTTTTCTTGAAATGGGGCTCACCCACATTGCCAAGTTGAGGGGTTTTCCACAGTTAAGTGTGTGTCCAAAAAGAGATGAGGATGAGTTAAAAATTCTCAGAAGAGGGTTTGGTTTGTTTACAAAGGGAATTAATTATACAGAAGTGACAGTGGTCATTGTTTCTGTTTGAGTTAAAGTACAGGTTGTTAACAAGCCATCTCACTTTTTAGGGGATAGTATCCTAAAAATATGGCCCATTTCATAATTTAATTACTCTGGTTATAGCTTTGAACTCTTAAACCACAGGATCCCATTGTACAAGCTCCGTGGCTTAGCTTTTCTACCCCTCCTCCGGAGGAGAGTAGATGAACCTCTTATAGCACCTCTGTGGGACCCCCCACCCCGATGTACAATTCCAGTTTAGCATCATTGGGTAAGGATATAAGATGGGGGATATAAGAAGGAAGCAAGGGAGAGGGGACCAGGTCCTCTATAAATATAGCTTTAAGGAAAGAATTATATTTGAGCAAAATCCATCATATAAGAAAAGCTGGTGTCTACATTTATCTTTTTTTTCTCTGCCCCGAGATCCCAGCCATGTCCTGCCAGCCCAAGAGCACTGGGCTGCCCATTTCTCTTCCAGATTATATCTTGCCAGTTATGACTTCTCCATGAAAATGGAACACTTCTCTCTGGAAACAAATTCCCCACGTAGGAAAGGGGAGCAAGTCACACTTCAGAGGCTACCTCTGAGTCTATGGTCACACCTTGAGGCCAAATAGGTCTCAGGCTGTATTTTAATGATGATGGGGTTACGACTCTCTGAGGATTAAGCATCCAGGAATTTCACCAGAAGGCTGTTTATACTCACAGCTCACTCAGCTGCCCCAGAACCTCTAAGTGATGACATAGAACTATTAAAATACCACTTTTCATGCATTTTCCACCACAGCATTATAATCTGGTTTATTAAGAGCAGGAAACCCTCCGTGTACATGCCTTTCTGATTATTGACCATGAACAAATCCCTTTAGCTCTTCTAAGTATTTCAATATCCTCACCTATAAAGCAAATTGAGTTGGCCCAGGATAACAAGCAAAGTGGAAATAGACAGGACAAAAGAATTCGACTTATGAAAATGTACAATATCCAAAGGGGTCTATGCCAGCACTTAAGTCAGGTGTCAACTCAGGAGAGAGGGAGCCAGCTTGTACCAGCTCCTGAGAGCTAACCGTGCATGTGAGTGCATCCCTCCCAGAGCCACGTTCAGTGATATCATATGGATAAGCTGAAATAGGCTATAGCAGGAGTGTTTACGCCACAGAAATTGGCAAACTACAGATCTGGGCTTTTCTTCCCCAGACAGCCAACTTACCAGCATGCCACTGGTGGGAAGAAAGGAAAACAATTACAGGGCTTCTAACCATAGTTTCAGAGACTAGGGCCAAAATAGTCAACCCAGCAATCCTACACGGATGCCATAACTCTTACAAAAGGCAGCTGAGAGAAAAACAAAAGTGTTCTCAGGTATAAAATGATCTCTGAAGGTTTGTACATAGAGCCCTACAATGCAAACACTCTCAGTGGAAGCAACCAAAGAAGAAGAAAAATGAATTTTAAAATGCTATGAGAGACACAAGAAAACTGTATGGTGATCAAATACGTTAGTACTATTTATTGTTTATTAAGACCAAAGGGGTGGAATAGAAGAAATATACCTATAACAACCTAGAACTGGAATGTCAGATGTTGACAAAGGTGGGGTGAGGTGCGCAGAAGATGCAGGAGAGCTGTCAGAGTACTTAGCTTGTATAGGAATTGGTAAGTTTAAAAAACCCACAGAGAGGAATAAACGTGGGTAAAAAGGGCGACCACCATGAGAACAAAATCAGAAATATAAATTTTGAATCAGATGAAAATTCTCTTTCCTATGGAAAGCAGAAAAAGAGAAATATTCTAGAAAGTCACTCAAAAAAGCTAGTAGTACAAAAAATAAATGGAAGCCAGATATTAGTCAAACATGATAGTAATTGACCAAAAAAATAAAAATCTTAACTCTTAAATTTACCACCAGAAGCCAAATATGCACAGGATTGTCCTTTTAAAAAAAGAGCTAACAATTTACTGTTTATAAGAAACACATTAAAACAGAAAGATAAAATGTTTAAATTCAAGGATGCAATAATATATACTAAACAAATACAGACCAAAAGAAAGCCAGGGTATTAACCATTATATCTCAAAACGTGAAATTTAAGACAAAAAATATTAAGAACAAAGAATGATGGAACAACAGAAAAAGAGTATATAATCGTTATATGCACACATCTGTACAAAACAATCAGCCTCAAAATACATCAAGCAGCAATTGACTGAACTGCAGGGAAAAGTAAACAAATCAATCATTGTAGCTAAGATTTTACCAAAATCTCAGAAACTGATACATCAAGAGAACAAAAAAATAAGCAGAGATATCAGGGATCTAAACAAAGAATAAGTGTAAACTATGACATTTAAGATTCTGAACCCTCCCACTCAATATCCCCGCCCCCTCAAAAAAAAAACAACTAGAAAACACGCAATCTTTTTAAGTACCCATACAACACTTACAAAATAGACCTTGTATTACGCCGTAAAGCAAGCTTGGGGTCCTTCTGCAATGCTGGTGGGAAGTTGACTGTTGCAGCCATTGAGAGAACAGGTCTTCAGTATTCAGTCACATTAAGTATATACACCCCGTGTGACCTAGAAATTCCCCTCCAGAGTATACACAGCTCCCAGGGAAAGCATCCCCTGTGTCCATGGTGGGCCACCAGGAAGGCTGTTCACCACAGCATGTGTCGTGATGCAGAGACAGGAGAACGTAGAGGCAAAGTGGGTGGGACACACTGTGGAGTCCTACGCAGCAGGTGGACACTCAGTGCTACACATACAGCAATGTGGACAGATCTTAAAATCCTAGTGCTGGAGTAAAATAAAATCACTTTTATAATCAATACTATTTGCATAAATTAAAAATGCATCTACACAAAACAACAATACATATTTTACAAGCACACAAACAAGAAAGGTACATAGGAATGCTGGAGGGAAAAGAGAGTGGCGTATAAAAATGAAAAGATAGGCACACCTCCCTACATTCAATAGGGGGCCCTTGCACAGACCATGAAGGTAATATGCAGGGACATGATTAAGTCAACTCGGTCAAAAAAATTTTAAGTGGGCGGGGCATAGTGCATACCCTGCTCGGCCCCATCAGAGCCTCTGGTTGTCAGTGTCAGAGTGACCCCAGAATTGGGGCAGGGTCCATCTGCAAAGCCCCATAGTGGATTCTGCCCCCACTATGCATTTGGAAGCATTCTGGCCACACTACAAAGTGTTATAAATATATACTAAAAAAAAGTTTCTGCACTTTGCCTCCTAATTAGATGAACATGTTAATCTCTAGAGTAACAATGGTAATGCACATGTGTATTTATTGTGCTTTTAGAATGTTTTAAAATCTCTGACGAGATGTGGAAATAAGGGTAAATTTTTTATTGAGAAAAGTGGGAAAGAAAAGACATTCTTGAACATAAAAGATGTAGGAATCGAGGATATAAACTGAATTTAGAAAGGACAGGGACCTAAGATAAAGATAATAAATTCATATCACCTCCTACAGTCAGTCACCAGACCTAACTGGCAAGTCAAACCGGGATAGTGTGGGAAGGTCCCAGCTTTGAAGCCAGATGAACTAGGTTTGGAACCTGGCCCTCTTCTGCTACTTACTGGCTGAGGCGTTGATCTCTCGGAGCCTGCATCTACAAACGGAGGGTCATACCCGCCTGAGAGCCATGTCGTGTGAAAGCTGAACAGCAATCCCGGGCCCATCGGCACGGGAGGGGTGGAGGAACCTGCCCTCGGAGCCACAATTCCCAGGCAGGCCCAGGGACCAGAAACCCCCAGCAGAGCCTGAACATCATCTGTCTCATGTGGGTATCCAGGGCCAGAGGGGCAGATCAGAACTCTTCTTTACCTTTAAGATGCTAAAGAAAAAACTGGCTGGCTATCCAAGTGGGGGTACAAGACTTCCCTTCATTTCACCTTTTGAAATATCCCCTTTCCTTCCTCCTCCTACCTCTCCAAGCAGAGC